CCTTTGGGGGTGCTTATACCCGCGCCTCGCTCGAGACGTCCTCAAAATCTGCTCCGGAAGCGGATGACGTCGGGTGGTGAAACAGGCAAATCGCTCGAGACATCCCCGCCATTTTGACGCGAACGGAGGAGTGCAATACCCCCTGGCGGCTCCCCCTTGGGGATGCTGAAACCCGCGCCTCGCTCGAGACATCCTCAGAACTTGCTCTGCCATCATCATCATCATCATCATCATCATCATCATCAGCAGCAGCAGCAGCAGCAGCATCAGCAGCAGCAGCATCAGCAGCAGCATCAGCAGCATCATCATCACCGCAACCACCACCATCATCAGCAGGAGCATCACGATCATCAGCACAGCATAACATACCATAACATAACAGGTCATACCGTAACATACCATAATATGCCATATCAAAACATAGCATAGCATAACATAGCATACCACCAACTAACATCTCATATCGTCATACCATAACATGCCAGGACAAAACGTCAAATCATAACATAATACTTGAGTGTGACTCTGCGTGATGCGGATAGCATATCATAACATAACATAACACATCATACCATGACATCATATAGCATGGCACACCATAAGATAACGTCTTATATGAGCGTGATTCTGGGTGAGGCAGAAGAGGAGGAGGGAGATGAGTGGGCCGCCTCGGCGCGGTCGGAATAATAGCAAGAACCCCATCCTCTGGATATGGGGAGTCACATAACATAGCATCACAGAACATACCATACCATAATATAACACACAATCAGCCTGGCGAGTGACCCAACCATACGCAGCTGTAGGCATCGTCTTCGGCTGAGCCCCGCATGGGGCCACGAAAAACGCTGCACCGGGCGGGGCAGACGCATGCGGACTGCGCCACTGGGACCCTCGGTAGAGCTCCCTGTGGGGCCACGGAACGTTGCATTGGGTGGGGGGAGACGCATGCGGGCTGCGCCACTGGGACCTTCGGTGGAGCTCCCTATGGGGCCACGAAACGCTGCACTGTGCTGGGGGGGGAGACGAGACTCATCCGGGCTGCGCCACTGGTACCTTCGGTGGAGTCCCCTTATGGGGTTACGAAACGCTGTACTTGGTGGGGGGGACACATGCGGGCTGCGCAACTGGGACCTTCGGTGGAGCTCCCCAGGGGGCCGCAAGTCGCTGTACTGGGCGGGGGGGCGCATGCAGGCTGCGCCCCTGGGACCGTCGGCGAAGCTCCCCACGGGGCCACGAAAAGTTGTACCGGGTGGGGGAGACGCATGCGGGCTGCGCTACTGGGACCTTTGGTGAAGACCCCATGGGGCCACGAAACGCTGTGCTAGGTGGGGGAGACGCATGCGGGCTGCGCCACTGGGGCTTCAGGTGGAGCTCCCCATGGGGCCACGAAGCGCTGTAGTGGGTGGGGGAGACGCATACGGGCTGCGCCACTGGGACCTTCGGTGCAGCTCGTTATATAGCCACGAACGGTGTACTGGCTGGGGGGGACGCATGCGGGCTGCGCCATTGGAAACCTCAGTGGAGCTCACTATGGAGCAACGAGACGCTGTACTGGGTGTGGGAGACGCATGCGGGCTGCGCTTCTGGAACCTTCGGTGGAGTTCCCTATGGGGCCACGAAATGTTGTACTGGGTGGGGGAGACGCATGCGGACTGCGCCACTGAAACCTTAGGTGGAGCTCCCTATGTGGCCACGAACCGCTGTACTGGGTGGGGGAGACGGATGCGGGCTGCGCCACTGGGACCTTCGGTGGAGCTCCCTATGGGGCCACGAAACGTTGTACTGGGTGGGGGAGACGCATGCGGGCTACGCCACAAGAACCGTCGGTGGAGCTCCCTATTGAGCCACGAAGCGCTGTATTGGGTGGGGGAGACGCATGCGGGCTACGCCCCTGGGACCTTAGGTGGAGCTCCCTATGGGGCCACGAAACGCTGTATTGGGTGTGGGAGGCGCATGAGGGCCGCGCCACTGGGACCTTCGGTGAAACTCGTTATATACCACAAGCGCTGTAGTGTCTGTGGGAGAGTCATGCGGGCTGTTCCACTGGGACCTTTAGTGGAGCCACGAAACGCTGTACTGGGTGGGGGGAGACGCATGCAGGCTATGCCACTGGAACCTTAGGTGAAGCCCCCTTTATGAGGCCACGAAACACTGCACAGAGTGTGGGGAGCGCATGCGGGCTGCGCTTCTGGGATCTTAGGTGGGGCTCCCTATGGGGCCACGAAACGCTGTACTGTGTGGGATAGACGCATGCGTGCTGCACCACTGGGACCGTCGGTGGCACTCCCCATGGGGCCACAAGGCGCGGTACTGGGTGTGGGGACGCATGCGGGATGCGCCACTGGGACCTTCGGTGGCGCTCCCTATGGGTCACGAAACGCGGTACTGGGTGTGGGAGACGCATGCGGGCTGCGCCACTGGGACCTTCGGTGGAACTCCTCATGGGGCCGCGAAATGTTGTACTGAGTGGGGGTGCAGGCTGCGCCACTGGAACCTTCGGTGGAGCTCCCTATGGGGGCCACGAGACGCTGCATTGGGTGTGGGAGACGCATGCGGGCTGCGCCACTGAAACCTTCGATTGAGCTCCATATGGGGCCACGAAACGCAGTACTGGGTGGGGGGAGACGCATGGGGGCTGCGCCACTGAAACCTTAGGTGGAGATCCCTAAATGGCCACGAAGCGCTGTACTAGGTGTGGCAGACGCATGCGGGCTGCGCCACTGGAACCGTAGGTGGAGCTCCCTAGGGGGGCCACGAAGCGCGGTAGTAGGTGTGGGAGACGCATGCGGGCTGCGCCACTGCGACCACGAAGCGCTGTACTGGGTGCGGGAGGCGCATGCGGACTGCGCCACTGGGACCTTCGGTGGAGCTCCCCATGGGGCCACGAACGCTGTACTTGGCGTGGGAGACGCATGCAGGCTGTGCCACTCGGACCTTCGGTGGAGCTCCCTATAGGGCAACGAAACGCTGCACTGGGTGTGGGAGACGCATACGGGCTGCGCCACTGGGACCTTCGGTGGAGCTCCCTAGGGGGCCACGACACGCTGTACTGACTGTGTGAGAATCATGCGGGCTGCACCACTGGGAGCTTCGGTGGAGCTCCCAATAGGAGCCACGAACGGTGTACTGGGTGGGGGAAACGCATGCGGACTGCGCCACTGGAATCTTAGGTGGAGCTCCCTATGGGGCCACGAAGCGCTGTACATGGTGTGGGAGACGCATGCGGGCTGCGACACTGGGACCTTCGGTGGAGCTCCCTATGGGGCCACGAACGCTGTACTGGGCACGGGGAACGCGTGCGGGCTCCGCCACTGGGACCTTCGGTGGAGCTCCCTATGGGGCCACGGAACGCTGCACTGGGTGGGAAAAATGCACGCGAACTGCGGAGGAGGGAGGAGGGGGAGGAGGAGGAGGAGGAGGAGGAGGAGGAGGAGGAGGAGGAGGAGGAAGAAGGAAGGAACGCGGGGCGCTGTCTAGGACCCAACACCAGAGGATCAGAACCTGAGGAGGGAGAAGTGATGGTATTCCTGTGGGCGTTCTCGGCGCGGTCATAATACTAACAAAAAATCATCGTTTGGAAATGGGAAAAACAATTGCCCCATTCCTGTTGGCGGCCAGGCTCCTGGATTCCCGGTTCCGGGTCTGGAGTTCCTGGCACGGCCAGGTTCCCTGGTTCTCAAGTTCTTTGGGACATTTGCGATCGGAGCCAGAATGAGAAAGTAGATCATACAGAGTAGAAACGACAATAGAAAGCATAGCTACGCGGGAGAAGGGGGGACAATTGCATATGTTGGAGAACAGAGGGCAGAGCGACTCTAGACGGTAAATATTGTAAACAGGGTAATAGCATGAGGAAAAAGAGAGCCAAGCAACAAAATCAGAACCAAAAGGGCAGAATGACAGAAAAAAGATAACCGTGCTTGTACGTGTCAGGCCGTATCACCAAAGCAAGCAGAGCAAGCATACGACAGCTACACAAACGGATTCGTCGTCGAGCTCCGTGGGTCCTGCAAGCGTCTCTATTTGAAACCCATCGTCCCTCCCTCCCTCCCCCATGCTTGTGTTACCTCATCTATCCTCTTTGCCCCTCTCGCCCACTGCTGGGGAAGCCGCCTCCCCCCCCCCGAGGCTACAGCATGGGCAGGGCGGAAGCAGCCATCTGGCGACAAGGGCGGCAAGACCCCGTCTCGCTCCCTGCCGTGCACCTCCGCGCGCCCTGCCCCCGTGCACCGCCACTGCGGCAACTAGTTACCCCCCCCCCTTGGAACCGATGGATCCCTCCATGATTTCCTCCCGACTCCTCCTCCTCCTCCTCCTCCTCCTCCTCCTCCTCCTCCTCCTCCTCCTCCTCCTCCTCCTCCTCCTCCTCCTCCTCGTCCAGACCATCCCCATTGGTAGGCCAACCGTCGCTTCTCCTGAATCCAGGGGAGGCGGGGGGCAGGGCTCGGCTCTCGCCCCGTGCTCGACGAGTTCCGACCCGTACCCCCGCCGCCCGTCGAGCTGCCTGCAGCCTGGATCGGCGAGGGTCTGGGGCTTGGATGTCGCCGCCGCCTTGGGTCCTCGTCTGACTAGCTACCAGACCACCCCAACCCAACCCGAAGACCCGAATTTCGGGTTGGGGGGGGTAAGGGTTCCACATGTGTTTTTTCGATGTTTCCCGGCCCCCCCCCACTAGAAATCGAGGGTAAATTTGAGCCTTCGGGTTGGGTTGGGGTGGTTTGGTGGGTGGTGATCGTCCGACGCCGCCCTGCCAGTCTGTGCTGGCGGCGCGCAGCAGGGGGGGGCAGAGGGGGGGAAGACTTCCCAGAGAAGGAGGCTGCTTCTCAGAGGGCGCCGGCCTTGCACTTACAGAGAAGGCCCGCGCCTTCTCAGAAGCAGGGGTGCTTCCAGGAAGCCTTCCCCCCTCTGCGCGTGGCCGACAGTGGATGCCCCGAACCCCTCCCCCCAGGGCCGGGCGGGCACGGCCGCGGGGTCCGGGCGCGGGCACGGCGGCGCACCCGCAGGCGCTGCCCGACCTGGAGGTCCCGCATGCCGCAGTCCCGGAAAACGGAGGCGTGTATGTAGACCTCTGGGCGCATGCAAGAGTCTGGGTGGACGAGCAAATGACATGAGCATAAAACCTCGGAGGTCCGCGCGGATGCCTCGGATCCGCGCTGGAGCCTCCATCCCTTGCGCGGAGGCGCCGCTTGGGGGGCGGGGTCCAGCGCGGATCCGAGAAATCCGCGCGGGCCTCCGAGTTTTTATGTTTTTGTCCTTGTTCGTTCCCCTAGTCTTAAGTCGGGCATGTCCCCCTACAGGCGAAGTTTGGCCGAAAAATAAAACATAGTCAAAATCTATCCCCCAAATGCTCAAAAATAGTGAGAACCCCCCCCCAAAAAAAAACGTCCCAAAACTATTATTTGACAATTTCTGCGCACTCCGCCTGTAGGGGGACAGGCCCGATTTAACCCTAGCCAGAAACACGCAGGCAGTGGCCCTGGGTACGGCAGAGCAGTGACGTGTCGACCTCGGCGCGGGTCTCTGGCACCGCGAGGAGGGCACTCCGCCTTGAAAACGATCGGCCGCTTCCGAGGCGCCCGATGCTGGGCCGTTTTCCACCACCACCACCACCATCAGTTGGAGGGGGAGGGGGTCCTCCTCCTCCGCCTCCTCCTCCTCCTCCTCCTCCTCATCCTCCTCCTCCTTCTTCCCCCCTTCCAACTTATGGTGGTGGTAGTGGTGGACAACACGCCCATCACCTGATCGTTCAACATCGACCCACTCTGGGCCGCAGCCGGCGTGCAACGTTGAACGCCGCCGCCGGGGTCGCCGCCGGTCGACACGGCGCAAGACCTACCGTAAGAGTAACCTTTGGTGCGCGCTGCTTTTTAGGGGCCGCGGGGGGCCAAACACAAGCGCGCAAGACGCCACTGCCACATCGCGTTCGGAGATCGGGGGACCCCAGCAGGACCGCACCAAAAGTCGCCTCAGCGAAGGGTCACTCTTAAGATCTACGACGGCATCCCCGCGCCGACTTTCATGGTCTAATCGGTACCCTCCCTCTTCCCTCCTAGCTCTCGTTTTCTCTTCGCCTTCGTTCAATTCGCCATCGGTGCACCCCACAGCTTGCTGACCGGCGTCTGACTGTCTTGGACCACTTGGCGCCCGCGGACTCAATTGCCCTGGCGAAGGACCCAACCATGTGCAGTTGTGAGTATAGCGTTGTGGGCACCGCTTTCGGTGGAGCTCCCCATGAAGCCACGAAACGTATGAGGGGTGCGCCCAAATCGACGGGGAACCGCATGTGGACTTTGCCACTGGGACCTTCGGTGGAGCTCCCGATGGAGCCGCGAAACGTGTGAGGGGTGTGCCGAAGTGGGCGGGGAACCGCATGTGGACTTTGCCACTGGGGCGTTCGGTGTAGCTCCCTATGAAGCCACGAAGCGTGTGAGGGGTGTGCCGAACAGGTTGCTGCACGGAGGGCAGGGGCAGGGATGGGAGGAGGGAGGAGGGGGAGGAGGAAGGAAGGAAGGAAGGAGACACGGGGACTCTCTCTCTTAAAAACAAAAGCCCAACACCACAGGATGGTTGGGTAAATGACCTCCAGGTGTGGAGGGGTAGTCGCCGGCGCAGGCGCCAGGGGCAAGGGATGTGCATGTCGTCAGACACCTGCCCTGACCTGACTATCGTGCGAGAGGGATGGCCACATCTCGGCCTCTCTGCTGGGCTAGCTACCTGTCCCCTGGACTAGTCAAGCCAAGCTGCACCGCGCGCAAAAGGGCCATCAACCAGGCTGCCGCCCACTGCGGCCCATGACTTCGACAGCGCGGATCGGAAGCCGGCCGAGGGCTGCTAAACCCGTGGCTGCTAAGTTCAACCTCCGGGAAGTTGTCTTCGCCCTTCCGGGAAGAAGCCCGTTGACTGCTTCGCGTGCCGCGCCTCCTCCCGGGAAGCTGGCTTTTTCCTTCCGGGAGGGACGTTCTGGCAGCCACGGTCTTATAGCAGCCCTCGCCCAGCTTCTGAGCGGGAGCTCCCGCGTCTGCCCTCGGCCGGAGCACCGCCCCCCACGATCTCTGAGGGGGGGGGGGGTGGGGCTCGCTTCGCTCCGGGGCTCCCGAACGGAGTGAACCCCACCCTCCCCCTCAGAAAATCGTGGGGGGGCAGGGGTAGGGCTCGCATGTGGCCCCCCAAAAACCCGTGCCTGGGCCGAGCCGCGGGGGCGCCCCTCGGCTCCAGGGGGCCGACGCGCCCCGAGCGCACTCCCCCTTGGCAGGCGGGGCGCCCGCGGAGGCAGGCGCGCGTCCGCAGGCAGGCGGGGAACGACCGCGGCCGCCCCGAAGGCACGAGCTGGCCGTTCCGGTGCGGTACACGTCGGGCTGATACAGCCAACCCGTATAGTAATGGGGGAACAAAAAGTGGCATAAACATAAAAACTCGGAGGTCCGCGCGGATTTCTCGGATCGGCGCTGGACCCCCTCCCTGGCGCGCGGAGCGCGCCAGGGGCGGCGCCGGAGGCGCCGCCAGGGGGCCCCAGCCGGTTGTTCCCCGAAGTAAGGATGCGCGATAAGGATGCAAGGGCCTTGGACGCCCAGGTCGAGGCTTTTCGAGAGGGGGGCGCAGCCAAGGAGGGGCCGAGGAGGCAAGGATGCACGGGTACCCTTGGGAATGCTGCCCATCCTTACTATGCGGGTTGACTGTAGCGGTGGACAAGGAACGAGGGGACCTGTTCTGGCCACGGCGGACCTCCGCCACAAATATAGGTTCCACGACCTGGACCGGAGGAACGACCCGAAAAGCCGAGCCGCCCCAGAGCCCAGAGCGTTCCGTGCTTCAGCGCCTTTGACTGTAGATGGGATCTGCCTTTTTCGCTCGTGAGGGAGCCTACAAATACAAAGACTGCAGGCTACAAGAGCCATTCCTTGGCGCCCGTCGTTGCATAGCAGACGGGTTGCCTGCTCCACTCCCTTCTCCTGCTCATCATGCTCCTCATGGTTCTCCTGCTCATCATCCCGCTCCTCCCACTCCTCGCGCTCCTCCTGCTCCTGCCACCGCTCCTGCATGGCGCGGACCTCCGACAGCTTATGTTTCTGTAGTGCTGTGACCTTTGATCATCAATATCCTGTTCCTCATCTTCCTGTTCGTCCGCCTCCTCCTCCTCCTCCTTCTACATCAGTTTGCTCCTCCTCCTCCTCCTCCTCCTCCTCCTCCTCCTCCTCAATACCGTTTCCTTCAAAAATACCTCCTGCCGTCGCACCCCGAACCGTGCCGTTGGGGCGGGCCAGTCGTTTGGCCTGAGGCTTTCCTACCATTGATAATCCCTTTACTTAAAAAAATGCACCAGGTTCACGGATGGAGGGTGGGCCGTTTTCGACATGTGGCCCTCGCGTTAGCGCCGCTCCCATTCGTCTTAACAGTTTGCAACAGTTTCACGAATGGAGGTTCCTTTTCAAAATGTAACTCTCGCCTCAGTGCCGCGCACATTCGCCTTAAAAGTCTACAACGAGATCACCGATGGAGGGCGGCTCCTGTTCAAAAAGTGGTTATCGCATTAGCGCCGCGCACATTCGTATCCACACCTTACAATAGTGTCAAGGATCCTTATGGTAGACGTCCCAGAGATGGTCTTGCAAGCAGGATGTAGAATTGTCAGGGAGAAATAATTGTGTTGATCCACTGTGTTGAAGTCCCACGAACGGTGTTCTGGCACGATACAGGCATGTCAGGCCGCGACAGTTACGTTGATTCGCAGCGCTGAAGCCCCAGCAATGGTGTTCTGGCACGGGCAAGGATTTCCAGACGATTATCTTCCAACGGGGCACTTCCCTCAGTGAACATGAACCCTTGTAAGAACATATGAAGAGGGAACTTGGAGGGAGCGTTGATTAAAACATCGTTGATGAGTGTCGGGTTTGCACTAGTCCTCCTCCTCATCCTGATCCTCCTTCTCCTCCTCGTCCTCGTCCTCGTCCTCCTCCTCCGCCATTCCTTCTCCTTATAGATTATTCCTCCCTGTCGCACCCCGAGGGCCGGGCGTTTCGCCTGAGAATCCGACCCATTTAAGACTCTGACGCTTCAACAGTAATAACAGTTTCAGAGATGGAGGGCGGGTCCTTTTCAACATGTGGCTCTCGCCTCAGCGCCGCGCACATCAATTTTAAAGAGTTTCAAGAGTTTCACGGATTGAGGGCGGGTCGTTTTCAAAATGTGGCTCTCGCCTCAGCGCCGCGCACATTCGTTTTAACAAATTGCAAGAGTTTCACGGATTGAGGGCGGATGGTTCTCAAAATGTGGCTCTCGCCTCAGCGCTGCGCACATTCGTCTTCAAAATTTGCAAGAGCTTCACGGACTGAGGGCGGTTCCTTTTCAAAAGTTGCCTCTCGCCTGAGCGCCGCGCAAATTCGTTTTCAACATTCGCAACAGTTTCACGGAGTCCCATGATCAACGTAGCAGAAATAGTGCTTTGGAAGGATCAAGGTTATGCGGGCGCAACAGTTATGTTGATTCGCTGTGTGGAAGTACCAAAAATGGCGTTCTGGCACGATTCTGGATCGTCAAGACGCAGCAGTCAGGCTGATGCGCGGCGATGAAATCCCGAGAACAATGTTCTGGCACGCTCCAGGATCCTCAAACTGTAGTCTTCCCACGAGGCAGTTTCCCCAGTGGAAGTGAACCGCTGTAGGGGCCTACGAAGAGGGAGAGCTTGGAGGGAGGGCTAATTCCAACAATGACTCTTGGGTTTCCACTGGTCCTCCTCCTCCTCATCCTCCTTCTCCTCCTCCTCGTCCTCGTCCTCCTCCTCCTCCTCCTCCTCCTCATCCTCCTCCTCCTCCTCCTCCTCCTCCTCCAGTCTATCTGCGTTCGCCCCGCCGCGGCGAGAGCCGCAGGCCGGCGACCCTCCGGCCGTCGTCCATGTTGAGGAAGCCGAAGCCGTGCTCCGACTTCCACTCCACGAGCTCGCCCGCCTCGTCCTTCGAGGCGCCCGACCTGAGCTGGACAACCTGCGAGGACTCAGATGGGCCGCACGGAGACATACTCATACTGTATGTCCTCCTCGGAGGCGCGCGTCCGACCCGAACGTATGGTATACCCATCTTGTAGTCTATCGCTCCCCGAGCGGTGTGGCCAGGAAAACCCCCGCCACGACGCACATACTATGAGACTTCTCGGTGTGCGCGTCGCCCCTGGGGGAGCGACGCACATATAGTATAAATATGTTGGGGTGACGCCGATCAGATGGTGTTGAAAACGCTGGGGGTGTTCGTTCTCACGTTCAAGATCGACATGTGCTCCCGTCTGGGGGTTCGTGTCTTCCGTAATGGGATGATCGTCCGCGCCATGTTCGGTTCGTTTCCGTGTCGTACTGCCGTGCTGTGCCTGTTTTGGGCTGCCGTGTTCGCCTTGCTGCTTCGCCGAAGCCGAAAAGCTGAAAACGGACAGACGAAACCCCCAGCGTCAACGTCAACTCGAGGAACAAGCGAGATCAGACCCGAAACGCTAGAAAACAGCAACATCGGATGGCGACGTCCTGAAATAGTACTGAGAATTCAGGTGCACCAGGCTGCACACATAGACAGAAATGGCCATGGTGCCATTGCGATCGTCGGCGATGCAATATCGTGCACTTCTGCATGCGCGGTGTGGGCTTCGCTGAGCATGAACATGAGCACGTCTGCACGTTCACAGCTAGGAATGCATGGTGCCGAGTTCTCCTTCTCTGCGGCGCAGGCTACAAGACTATCGGACGCCACCATGCCCGCCCACACCTTGGCTCGAAGCACACACAGAAACTTGCAGACCCCTTGGGCACTGGCGTCGGATACGCCTCGCATTTGCCAAACCCCTTCCAAGGGAATTGACTTTGCTGGTTTGAGGGCGGGGAGGGGAAGGACGGGGGGACACAATAACGATGGGCGTTCAAAGAGCCACACGAGACGTCGCCAGGACAGCCGTGGAGCTTCAAAGACGAATCGGTCAGCCCCCTCCTCCTCCCCGCCGCCTCTTCCCCAATCTCCTGTCCCCCTCCTTCTCCTCCACCTCCTCTCTGCCCACACCCAATGGCCCCGCGGGTTGAGAGGCGGCTGGGCACGCCTTTATCTTTCCGGGATTCTGGTCGTCGTCGCCGACTATGACGCTAACAACCTCGCCAGAGAGTCAGGACCCAGCGAAGGAGGTCAAGACGGATGGCAGAGGAGGAAGGGTGAGGAATACGCAGAAGGAGGAGGAGGGGGAGGAGAAGAGCGGGGGGGGGGATGGAGGGGAGGGGAGAGGAGGGAGGGTGAGGAGGGGAAGGGAAAAGGAGTACGAAGCGGAGAAGAAGGCGGGGGGGAAGAGGAGGGCAGGAGCACAAAGCACTGGCTCGATCTTCAAAGCCGCTGGGGCTGCGAAGGATGGGGGAAGAATCCACCCGATTCCTCTTTCTCCTCCTCCTCCTCCTCCTCCTCCTCCTCCTCCGCCTCCTACTACGACAACAACAACTACTACTACTACTACTACTACTACTACTACTACTACTACTACTACTACTACTACTACTACTATTACAAGTACTACCACTACTACTACTACTACCACTACTGCTACTACTACTACTACTACTAAACTAGTACTTCTACTACTACTAACTACTACTCCTACTACTACTACTACTACTACTATACTACTACTACTACTATCCTAACTTCCCTACTTACTACGAACTACTACGACTACTACGACTACTACTACCATACTCATACTACTAACTACTACTACTACTATCTACTACTACTACTAACTACTACTACTACTACTACTACTACTATAAACCACTACTACTACGCCTACGACTACTACTTACTACTACGTACTACTATACTCTCTACTACTACTACTACTACTACTACTACTCGACTACGACTACTACATTACTACTACTAACTACTACTACTCCTTACTACTACTACGACTACTATACTACTACTACTACTACTACGACTATACTACTACTACTACTCCTGCTACTACTACTACTACTACTACGACTACACTACTACTACTACTACTAAACCACCACCACCACCACCACCCCACCACCACCACTACTACTACTACTACTACTACTACTACTACTACTACTACTACTACTATTACTACTACTACTACTACTACGACTACTATATCTACTACTACTACTACTACTACTACTACTACTAC